ATCATATTCATTCTCATTTGACGCATAATCTATAGATTGAGAATTTCATTTTCCAAAAAATTAACGTGATGATCTCCTTAGTGGTGTGGATAGTCCTTTGAAATTTAGTTACAAAATTTGCATATAGTGATTGTATTATACTCATATTTACAAGTTATTCACATTTAATATATGTATTTTTTACAAAAAATTTAAATAATACAAGTAAACTTCATGTATTATACACATATCTTTGTACATATTATTAAGTAAAATACTACACTCTAAAATTTTGAATAATTAATATTGAAATACTCTATATTCCTTTTTTTTAGTTAGATAATATGTGCAAACATTTTATTCGTATTTTTTATGTCCCGTATTTTATTAACTATGCTTTTTTAATATGGAAGTAATTTCACCTATAGATTATACTAAAATCCACGTCATTGAGAGCTAGTGCTAACAATCTGGATTCTAATGCTTGTCAAAATATTTTACAGAGTTACATCTGTTGCCCACTCGGTTGTTGTAACCATGATTTCATTACGGTGCTTTATGTATTGACTTGTTGACTTTGAAGTCTTGCCCTGGAAAGTGGACCCGGCTACAATCTACATGTTGGTTTCTGACTTGGATTTTGTGGTGAGTATTGACTTGGTCCATTTCGCGAAAGAAAGAAAAAAAGTATTGACTTGGTCTCCAATGGAAGAAAGCAGATGATTTCTGCGGCCTGTGATCTTGTATATTCATGTTGATTTCTGGGTTGGAAGAGGAATCCTCTATAATCTTGGATTGGACGTGAAGATATATGCTGAGGAAATTTCAAACAAAGAGCTCCATAATCATCCCCACTTTCAATTAATATTGAAATACTATTGCTTTTTTTTTTTACCGATAATATGCCTACACATTGTATTCTTATTTTTTGATTTCTTGGTTGGAAATCAAGGATTCCGCGTCCAAATAATGAAAATGCACTTTAGACTAGGTCCAAAGAATCTGGACCATTTGTCCTTTATGATGCTCCCAGATTTTTAAAAAAATTGGTTACAGGTTATACAAGTTATCAAGTTTCCACTTTTTGAAAATGCAATTGCATAAGGGTCATGCAATTATGCCCTTCCTGTTTGGCAATTGGCATAT